AAAAAAAAAAAAAAAAAAAAAAAAAAAAAAAAAACTGACGGTAAAGATAAAATCTGAATGTTAAGGTGAACACTAATAACAACAGATTATAACCCACTGACTAAAACAGGAATGCAAACATCCATGAGGATCTAGTAAACACGGGAGCGAGCGAGCGGCGGAGGACAGGCCGGCAGGAGGCAGAAAATCCCCGCCCGGCCATCACCGGAGTAGTAGCTGCTCCCAGCAAGAAAACATCTCTGGGGGCTAACACTGCAGCAAAAAGTAAGAAGAGGAATGAGATTTTCCAGAGTCTCAAAGTATCTCTCCAGAAAATATTAATCAAAGGGTGAAAAATGACTTTTCAGCGGAGAACCTGGGCGGGCTCCGCCCTATTCAAGTAACAGGACAGTAAACACCATGAGTCACCTGCTACGGTGCAGAGGAAGCACACAGCTTCACCTCTGTGGTGTTCTAGCCCCCAAGGGTAAGTTGGTCCAGTCACCAGGAAACAGCGGGAAAGCCAGGTTGAAGGCCTTCTCCAATGCGACCGGCCTGCGCTCTGAAAGGTCATAAAAGCCGAGGCAAGCCCGAGGGACTGTTGCAGAAACGTGATGTGTGAGCCAGGACTGGATGCCTTTGCCATGAAGGACATCACTGGGACGCCCTGGGAAAATCGAATGGGGTCTCTAGGTAGAGGGACAGAGAAGTGCTTTACCATTCTTAAGTGTTACAATTTTTCCCGCAAAAATTAAAGCTAACAAAACTAAAAGGCAGGCAGGCAAGGAGCTAAGAATAAGAAGTTCACTCTGCAGAGCGGCTGAGCCAGTCTATCACCGCTGCACGCGGCAGCGGGTCCAGGGGCCGGGCTGTGGCAGGCCTCGGAGGCAGGTCCGAGTCGCCTGCCTTGCTCAGGGCTGCCCTGCTCTCAATGCTGCAGGATAAAGGTTTCGGGGAAGAAGCGGGAGTGAGGCCGTCGCTCAGAGACCTCGGGGGGCGAGCGCTAGATTCCTAACAGAGCTCGAGGGCTGGCTTCAGTGGCTGATCACCCACCACGGCTGACACGGCCCCCACGGTTCAGAACGTGACTCGCTAGGCCAGTGCCCAGGTCTTTCCAAGGACCCCTACAAACCAAGCTCCTCTTCAGGCCCCGTGAGGGGGGTCAGCTCAAAAGAGTTTGCCTTTAGAGTCAAAATGAATTCAACTGTTTGAAACAGTGTCATCAAATCAACCCTCAAAGTTCTAACAACTTGCCTCTTCCCTCGACAGTGCCCTTGTGCCAGAGTATGACTGATCTCGCAGAGCTTTTGAAGTCGGCAATGAATTTATATAAGGCAGGCTGGGTTACAGAATTAAGATGGTTACACTCGCTCATTAAATCTTTTATGAGGAATTTCAGCCACGTGGGAGAAACTTTCAGGAAATCTTGGAGTTGGTTCTCTAGTAAGAGACCAAAAAAGGAAAGCTCCACATTCTTCAGAAAGCATCAAGCTATTTTCCTTAAAATTTTAAGGCTCTGGTTAAATATATTTATCTAAACAGATCTAAGTAATGTTAATTCATATGAGAATTTAATACGCAGAGAAGGGGTCTGGAAAATTACATAAACTTCAGAGTGGTTACCATTGGGATGGCAGAGTGCATGGGAAATGGAGAGGTGGATTCTTTTACTCTATGTATTTCTGAGTTTTTAATGATACAAATGTATTATTTGGGTAAACTTTTGAAAAATGAGTAGTATACTTCATTACAGTTTTTTTTTTGTTTTTGCTTGTCTCTCTTTTTCTTAAAAAAGGACTTGAAACTCCTTGTAACCAGGCCCTGCTTGTAGAAAGAGAAATTAAGGGCTGATGAAGCCTGCCTCACACCAGATTCCAAATCTGTGCAGTGAAGAGTTGGGGAACATTCAGGAACTGAAAAAGAAGGTTGCCTTCAAACCACCCATTCCCAATTAAGACCTTGCTTTTCATCCCAGGAGACCCCCAGTGACCAGCCGAGAAAGGTAAAGGGACGCGAAGGCTCACCTGGTTCTGAGTCAGAATTGCCTGCAGATGGCTCGCAGAAGGTGGATGGCATAAAAACATTGTTTTTTGATACTGTCAACAAGGAGGTGCAGGCACGGGAGGGAACAAGAGGAAAAACAGCGTGAGTAGGCAGGGCAGACGTGCACAGGATCACTTCTCCCACCTGAGGGGTCGTCTCCAGGCCCCACCGTTGGGGAAGGGGGGTCAGCATTGTGAACCTGGCCTTTGGCAACTCCCAGTAAAAGTGAAACCCTGGGACTCTTTCTAAAGCAAAAGAAAGGTGGGTGTCCAGTGGAACAGCCTGAATCTGTTTGATATCTAGCAGTTGACTCTGGCCTGCTGTGGCCACCTGCCTCGTCCTTGTGTCCCTGTGGGAGCAGCCAGGAGGGAAGCGGACGCACCCTATGTCCCGAGTCTCCCCTGGGGCCAAGCCTCAGGCCCTGCTCCTTGTCACCAGTCGGGGCTCGGCTGGCTGCAGACCCCCTCCCCTCACCTGTTTAGGATCTTACAAAATCAACTGCTTCCCGGGTTGTGGGCCAGGCAACAACGCAGTGGGGCTGAAGATCTAACTGTGCGGACAGAAGGCAGCTAGCTAAGTGGAAACAGTGCAGTGCAAAGGCCTCCAAACGTGGGACTGCTCGTGGCTCCACTCCCCTGACTGCTGAGCGCTAAGCATCCCCTAGGTGGTGACGTGCGAGAGGAGAGGGCTAACGCCTGCTGGTCCTCTACCCCTTTAGCCTACGTTCACAGCACAAACCACCTCCTCTCTTCTCCGCTGCACCTTCTCGATGCACAAAGTGCGGTTC